AAGTTACATCAACTCAAGTACTTTTACATCCAGCCTCATCAGCCGGGGAACCCAGTGGAAACAGCCAGGTTGGAGTCCTGATAGAGAGGCCTGGGTACAGGGTCCTCCCCTTGGGTGAGACTTCCAACTGACCATTCCCATAAGGGCCATTATTATAGGGCAAATCACAGGGTTTGAAATGAAACATTTGTTCGCCTACATGCAGTTTGGAGCAAGGTGCATTTCCACGTTATCATGTTTCTATATTTTCAAGGAACCTGGGCTGTGTATCTGCCTTCCTTCCTGGATTCCATTCTGGGGGGCCAGCCGAGCCTGGAGCAGGAGAGGATGTGAGATAAGATTTGTAGCTCTGGGCACCTGGGTGGCTCAGTTGGTTAAGCAACTGCTTTCAGCTTGGGTCATGATTCTGGAGTCCTGGGATTGAGTCCCACATCGGACTCCCTGCTCAGTGGGGAGTCTGCTTCTCCCTCTGACCCTCTCCCCTCGCATGCTTTCCCTCCCTCTCTCTCTCAAGTAAATAAATAAAATCTTTTTAAAAATTTTAAAAAAATAAAAGATTTGTAGCTCCTGGCATCCAGAACAGAAGGGCCGGTTCTGACATGGAGGTCAGATAATATAAACAATCAGACTCCTAAGGTTATTCACACAGCACGAGTCTCCCAAACAACATTCCTTAGCCTGCCTATGTATATGCATGTCCAGGTGGTCGGTTATGTGGGACAAATCACAACAACATTTATCCACGCAGAACAGATGGGCATCATGGAAGCATACAAGCAGGTCCAAAAGGAGCCCTGAAGCTGAAAAGCGTGGCAGAGCTTGGCATGACTAAGCAGAGGAAGAAATAGATGGACAAAGGTAAAATTCCTGGAAACAATGGGAATGAGCAAAAGGGATGAATGAAAAGGAGGAGAAGCAGCACAGCCTGGACAAGCAGACCCACCTTCAGGCAGCCTTTGAGAAGATGCAGGAGAAGCAGCAAATGAAAAGGATCCTGAAGCATCCAAAACCCACAATCAGAGAGTGGAAGACTTCAACTGACCCCTGGACACGCTCATGGAGCACCCCGACATTCCCAAAATCAGCTGAAAGAAGCTGCCTCCCCATCCAGGGTATCAGGGGGAAGTGGGAGGCCAAGTTGGGGTTATGTTTGTGCCTTTGGTATTTTCTGCTGAGACAGTGCTTTCCAAAGCAGCGTGCCCTCTTTCTGGAACTGATTAAAATAAGATGGTCCTTCTGCTCTATTTTGGTTTCTGGATAGCACATAGAAGACAAAGCTTTTTAGCTTGGACTGGAAATTCTTTAAAGTTTATCCAAAGATTAAGGCTATTTCTGTATGTCATAGAAAAGTGTTTTTACACCCAAATTGCATCTACCTCTGACAGCCAGCCAGCTATCTTTCCCTGGATGAAATGGACTCCAGAGCATCAGAAGCTAATGTCAGCATGGCCTGCAACTTGCGGATCCCCATAGGCCCCTGAGGGAGCTGTCCTTCCAAGTTCCCTCTAGTTTGGGGCTTATGCTGTTCTTTCCAGGGTGGGGGGAAGCTACCTGTACCTTCATGGCCTTCAGAATGCCTTCTCAGCTACCTAATTTGTGAGACAATACAGCCTGGGAGGCAGAACAACTGCAAAGGTAAGGATGGCATGTAAGCTTTGTCCCATGTCTGAGGCTGTGGCCCTGCAAGCGGCTTTTCCCCCAGTGTCCTTCCTTCCAGATATGTCCAGAGGGTGTTCCCACGGATCAAGCACAGCAGTCTTTGTAATGGAACCCAGACACAGCCTGCCTCACTTCCCTCAATCCTAAGAGTCCAAGCAGCACTTGTATTTGTTGGGAGTTGGCACATAACATGTAGCCTGCTTGGCATTTCTGGCCTAATGCACCTCAGGGGTGATGGGACCAGGGCAGAGCCCCAGCACAGACAGACATGGGTACAGTCAAAGGGGAGGACCCAGGTGCTGGTGCTGGAGAGCCATGATCTCTGAGAACCTACAGGATGAGGAACAAATTGCATATACTAGCGGGGAAAAGTTTCTGTGATATAGTGAAAGAATAACAAAGTCAAGAGACAAAAGCCAAGTGTTGGGTTTGAGGCTGTCACATGTAAACAGAATAAAGCAAAAAAACAGTTATTTAAAAAAAGGAAAGTCAATAATGCTATTTTTATCTTGGATGTAGGACTAATAAATAGCTTTATTCTAGTGACTTGTTAAAAAAAAAAGTCTTGTGCCTCAATAGAACAAATACTGTTCATTCTTTACAGTTAAGAGGTTTATTCCAGGGGCACCTGGGTGGCTCAGTGGGTTAAAGCCTCTGCTTTCGGCTCAGGTCATCATCCCAGGGTCCTGGGATCGAGCCCCACATCGGGCTCTCTGCTCAGCAGGGAGCCTGCTTCCTCCTCTCTCTGACTGCTTCTCTGCCTACTTGTGATCTCTGTCTGTCAAATAAATAAATAAAATCTTAAAAAAAAAAGAGGTTTATTCCAATTCCCCTTAAAAAGAAATAAAAACTATGAGAAATGAGTCTGAATTCGGGTGTGGAGAAAAATAAGCCAGTGGGAAAGTATAAAGGGTTTGGATCCTGAAATCAATGTTTTGGTTCAAATCTCACCCATTCATCCCCACATCTCACCTCTGTGACCTTAGCAAGCTCATCATGTCCTATTTTGATGCTTGGCACAGGGCCTGGTATATGATACAAACTGATAACCAGCTACCATTACCCTCAAATTCTGAAAAGTAGAATGACAGTGCTACTCTTTTTTTTAAGAAGTTATGAAAGGAGACACCTGAGTGGTTCAGTTGGTTAAGCATCTGCCTGTGGCTCAGGTCATGATCTCAAGGTCCTAGGAGCAAGTCCTGCATTGGGCTCCCTGCTCAGTAGGCAGCCTGCTTCTCCTTCTGCCTGCTGCTCCCCCTGCTTGTGTGTTCACTCTCTCTCTCTCTGACAAATAAATAAAACCTTTTTTAAAAAAGTTATGAAGGTAGTAAAAATGCTGTATCAGCACATAGTGAAACAGAACACAGAAAAACTATATTAAATGTTTGAGTTTGTTAGGGCTGCCATAACAAAGTAACAGACTGGGAGGCTGAATCAACAGAGATTTATTTTCTCAAAGTTCTGGAGGCTGAAAGTTCAAAATCAAGGTGTCAGCAGGGTTGATTTCTTCCGAGGCCTCTCTCCTTAGTGGGCAGATGGGTGCCATCCTGTTGTCTCATCACATGGTCTTCTCTATGTACTCACCTATCTGTGTGCATATTTCTTCTACCCATAAAGACCCCAGTCATATTCAAGAAGGGCCCACCCTTAGGACTTCATTTCTTTTTAATTATCTCTTTAAAGGCCTCTCCAAAAACAGTCACATCCTGAGGTACTAGGGGCTAGGGTTTCAACATGTTACTTCACATAAAGGATGAAAATATGTAGGATCACTTAGTAATTTAATTCTGGATAATTTTTAGAATTAGAATGTTCTAAGCATAACAGTAAAACAATGTTCAATGGCTTTGTGGATTTCCCACTAGAAATAACATGTAGGAATATTTTTATCAAATTTCTGCACGAGGAGAAAAAGCAAGAGTACCTAAACCTAAAAGTAATGGGTTGGGAGAAGGGGAAATCACACAGAAAACAATAATTAGTTTAATTGCATACGGTGAAAAATTTTCATATGCAAAATTTGGGGAAGGAAAGGGGTAGAAAATACCGGTTATAATGGACTATTATTTGTTACAAAAGCTTGTATGGATAATAAAATCCATATCCTCAGAGTTTAAAGAATATAGGAGTGAATAAAGAAAAATGTGGAAGCATTTTATAAAAATGTGAAGCAAAGTAGGAAAACATTCAATATCACTTATAATCAAAGCAGCACATTTTAAAAGACTTGTGCAAGGCACCTGGGGGGCTCAGTCGGTTAAGCCTCCTACTCTTGATTTCGGGTCGTTATATCAGGGTAGTGGGATCCAGCCCCACATCTGAGCAGTTCTAGTCTGCTTGGGATTCATTCTCTCTCCCTCTGCAGCACCCCCCCCCCACTTCTGCACAGCTCTAAATAAATAAATAAGTAAAATCTTTAAAATTAAAAGATTTGTTTGTGTTTAAACCCCTGTAAACAGCTAGAATCCATCATGCATAAGGATGAAGAAACTTCATGAGTTAAATCAATTCCAACTCTGTGCTGAAGCCACAGAGCTCTTGATAATCTCTCTCCCAAGAATCCTGTTTCCTGAAAGTGGAGGCGGCAAGAGGTTGGGTTGTCTTGCACAAATTGGTCATAGCATGGTAATGGGTAAGGGAGAAATAGCCCCGTTCATGCAGGGCACCTGTGCAGGCCTCAGAAGAAAATGAGACAGCTGGCTTGGTGGCAGGATGCCTTCCAACAACAAGATGCCAAGGACCCTGGCTGTTCTCTGGTGAATCACAACACTAAAAGAAGAAATAACCGATTGCCTCAGCTTTCATGTTGGAGCACCCACCCGTGTGCAGGGAGGAAGCCTCCACTCCAAGAAGAAAATGCACACTAGGTGCTATACAGAGGCCAATCCACCAACTTGAAAGTGAGAGCCTCAGAGGAGAAGCACTGGTATTACCTATGAGCTTATTAGAAATGCAAATTCACGGACCTGTTGAGGGCCTGACTCTGGCCATAAAATCATAAAAGGGTTAGTAGATTCAAAATGATAGAGACAAAGGAAAAAAAAAATAAAGCCACTACCTATCAGCCTATTACCCACCCCACCATCAAGACATGAATGAAGAGAATCAATCTTTCATATATTTGCTTAAATTTAAGTGAGCAAAGATCGTTATGTCAATGGACAAAAAGGAAATTCATTTCTTTACTAGAATGGCACTACAAACTCACTTTTGCATCAAAATAAAGCAAGACACAGGAAAAAAAGAATGTTGAGATGTTTGGATATGTTCTTCTCTTGAACTTTAGTAGCAGAAGCAGGACCGTTTCTCACAGTGCTCCTGTACTTTTTTTTCATCAATACTTATGCAACAGGATGCTCCGGAGTCTGGGGCTCTGATGCACGTGCCTTCAAGAATTCCTCAAGTTGTTTCATCTTCTCAGCTGAATAAGGAAAAACGCTTTCTGTTCCAGACTACTTCATCATTGAGGGTAGTATAGGGGAGGAGGGGAGGTCCTAGCAGCATCACTTCTCAGGTGGAGGCTCTGAACCTGAGATCTGGAAATAGTGGTGAAACCAGGCTGCATGGGCAGTGACAGGCCTGAATGTATTAGATCTCAGTTTACTTTCCCAGGGTCCCACTTGGGACTCTTCTCACAAAGGGACGCCCAGGGGCTGCATACAGAACACTAGCGTTAGGAAACTGCAAAAAGTTTTGGTAAGGTAGGAAGAAAGCCTGGTACAGCCAGGTGGTTCACCAGTGGTTCCCTCCACATGCAGGATTTTAGAGACCCTCACCTCGGGCACGAAGTTTCTGGTGCCAGGATGCCAGGCTCAGGAGCACGCTCTTCACCCGATTTTGTACACGGGGCCGTCCGAAGATGGTGATTTCAACTAAGTCCCCAGAGTTAACTATGTCTACCATAAGCAGGACTTGGCTCATCCACTCCATTTCTGGAATCACCGCTCGGTCTGGGCCTACACAGAAAAAGAGAGACTCTGAGGGGAAGCAAGGTCCAAGGTGAGTAGGAGCTAAATTTGAATGTTGGCCAGAGAAGGGAAGAGCTGGAAGGTGGGCATCGTGGCGTCTAAGGTGCTCTGCCAATCCGGCAGAGACTGTTGAGAGTGGCTCTGCGGGGTCCCTCTCCTCTTGGACTGGAGGGGTCATACCACCAGCACCCGGGGGTGGCTCACCAAAGATCGAGTCAGCCAGCCACGCCTCCAGGTAAAACACCAGTGGGTCTCTCAGTTCCTGCACAGGGAACCACCACGGCCGGGTGCGAATCCGCGGTGCTGGAAGTGGTGACCTGAGCAGTCTGTTCAGGGACTGGGCGGGCGTCCATTCGTCCCCCTGGGCCTTAGCAGCACCTGCGTCGTCGACCATGCTAGGTCCAGCAGCCCAAGCAGAGCAAGGGCCAGGAAGCGCCGGCGGAAGTCCAGTGAAGCGAGAAGGCTGTGCCCCCTTTTACGGTTTCCGGCCAGCCCCGCCTCTTCCTGCGGCTCCTTGTCATGCGTTCCGGGTGAGCCGACCCAATGGACACCGGGAGCCCTTCCTTGGTGGCGCGGGGAGCCAGCCACCCGGGCTTCGTTCCGGATCCTGAACCAGAGCTCATTTGAGTTTCGGCCCGCTCTCAGAGGCTCTCCGTGATCGTTTCCGCCGAGTCAGGTATCGCTTAGCCTCAAAGGTCCCTGCCCCGCGCACAGCTGATTGACAGCTTGGTCTGAGTGGCGGCCTCGTTGACCTGGACTCACTTCTCTTGCCTGCGTTAAGGTTTCTGCGGTTCCGTCCAGAGGTAGGTAGGTGGATCCGGCCGAGGGCAGGCTCCTGGAATCTACAGCTTTCGCCCTTCTGCCCCCTGACGTCTCTCCACTCTTCTCCGCTAGGTTACTACTTCAAAATCCTTCAAGCAAGTGTGTCGTGTTTTAAAATATAAACGTCGGAGGTGGTCACTATAGAACACGTAGGGACTATAGACAAGTCCCGTTTATTTCCAACATCCTGAAACAACTAGTGTTGGTGCATATTTCTTCCCAGTGTTCTTAATTTTAGTTAAAAATATAAATTATTGAAGATTTCACACATTCAAAAAGTTATGTAACCAGTATCTATATAACAACCCCCACCACCGCCCCATTTAACAAGATGTTAACAGTTTCCCACGTTTGCCTCACCTCTCTCTTCTTTAAAATAGATAGCGCTTAAAGCATCTTTCCTTTCCCTCCGCACAGGAAATCATTGCCCTGAAGCTGGTGTGTATTATCCCATACTTTTTCTAGTGCATTTCTAGAAATCTTGTTTGGTAGTTGTTCTAGAATAGATAGAATATGCTGTGAAAACTTTTGTTCTTACTATTAGCTATGATATGTCTGTTTTAAAAATCCTTTCAATGGAAAATTTTGATCATTTACAAAAGGCTGATAGTATTAATGTCCTGAATTCTCTCATTCACATCAGCTGGGCTTCAAAGATTATCAGATAATCTCTATGAGTGGAGATATTGACTCTAACTTCAGTGGATATTTTTATTTCTTCAATTTAATTTAAAAAATGAATATATGCACATTGTAAAAGAAAAGTTCTCCAGGATATAAAGTAATATATGAAAGTTCTCCCTTTCAGGTATTCTCCCTCACTCTCTTACTAATCTTTTTCCAGTTGTATGTATTGTGAATGTCTTCTTCAAGTTTAAATTTTTTTTCACATTAAGGTGTCTTTTGATAAATGAAATTTTTAATTTCAATATAGTCAGACTTGTAAGTCTTTCTAGTAAGTGCATTCATTCTTCCTTAAGAAATCCTTCTCTGCCCTGAGGTCTAAAGATACTCACTATACTTTTTACAAAGACTGCTAAGTTTTCTAAATATGTAAATCCTTGAACCATCTGGGGTTAATTTTTTTGAACTTGGGCATAAGGGATATAATTTCATCATTTCATAAATTAATAATTTTTTCCTTCAGTCACTCTCTTAAGGATGCATCCGACCTGAAGCCACTTCAAATGATCTTGAAATTTTTCAGGCTCCTACATACAGCATGAATTAGCCACAAGGCTGGTTTTTAAGTAATTACTACTTAGGTAGTAATTAGGTTAAGATATATTTGAGAAAGGCAAGTCCTAGACATGTTCCTTTGCCATTCCCATCTAGATAGCAAAATTTATTTCTGATGTAGTTTTACTTTGGAAATATAGCCATTAGGGGTCCTAGCTTAATGCAGAAACTCCATATTAAGTTTCCTACATCTAGCAAGCCTTGAGTTTTATTTCCTGACCTCATGGCAGCTTCAAATGGAATTTTTTGGCATTTAGCAGAATCTGCCAAGAAGAATCACTCTATCTTCTTAATTTAATTTTGACAGGGAGGGGGCATGATTTGAATAGTGCTCCAACATTTTCTAACTCTGTGGCTGAGTGCAAGTTATTTAAGCTCTCTACACTCCATAAAGAAAAAAATACCACCCAGAAGACGTCAGCAGACCACATGATTTCATTTTCTTTGCTTAGCCCTGGAAGAACTAGTCTGAGGAACTTTGGGTTCAGACAATAAAGTATGTGAGTGAACTGATTCTCAATGAAAAGCTTTGTTCTTCATAACTTCATTTCTTGTCATCTTCAACTCTTAAGGAATCTCTGTACAGTGAAAAATGTTACAAATAACAACATCAAAATATATATGACAGATAGGAAAAGTGGTTAAAATGGAGAAAATAAACTAGTAAAGAGATATTTAACAGATCACAAGCAAGGAGCAATCATGCAGAAAAAGAATATAATAAAACCCTTATAGTTCTGAATATAGGACATTTTCCTAATGTTTAGGAGCATTTACAAACAGTCATTATATACTGGTTCCCTCAGATGGATGGATAGATAGATGGATGGATGGATATACTGGTTCCCTCAGATGGATGGATAGATGGATGGATGGATGGATGGATAAGGAGCTTTATAACACACTACTAAATAATAGTCAAATAAAGTAAGAAATGAAAATCATGACTGATAGTCTGTTTAGAATACAAGAATAATTTACAAGGTCCATTTCAAAAACATTATGGAAAATGTATATTCAGAAAAATCTAGTTTTCAATCCCTTCTTGTTTATCCTGTCTTCTTTCCAATATAGTTAACTATTATCCATTTTTGGATTATCCTTCCATTGCACCAAATGTAGATACAAGTATCTGGGAATTTTTATTTTTACTTCTTTGTAATATTACATGTATTTTATTGTATTCCTTTCCCACCAACTTTTTATTTTGAAAAAAGTATGGGAAATGTATGAGAAAATTGTAAGAATATTAAATTTACATTCTGTACTTTTCAGTTTTACCAGTTAACATTTTCTTTCATTTATTTTATCTCTACCTTCATATAGTTTTTCATGAACTGTTTATAAGTTGCAAACATCGTGATACTCTATTCCAAGTATTTCAACATTATCTCCTAAGAACAAAGATATTCTCCTACATAACCGTATAAAATTCATCCAAAAAATATAACATTGATTCAATACTCTTGTCTAATATATAGTCCAATTTCAATTCCCCAGTTTTTCCAATAATGTACTTTATAGCTAATTTTTAAAAATCTACAGTCCAATCAAGGAGCATGCACTGCATTTACTTATACCTCTATTCTCCTTTAATCTAGATTCACTCTCTGTTGTTTAAGTTAATCTTTAATGACACTGACATTTTAAAAATATTTTAAATTTTGTATTGTGGAAAATTCTAAACATACAGAAAATGTATCTGGCCATTGTTCACTTATATATTCAGTCTCTCAGTTCCCACTTTTGGCCATTCTCTCATTTTTGAGGTGTTGACAAGTTCAGGGAAAATGAGAGATCCAGATCTTCACTTTTTGGAGAGCCTTCTTTTGTCTTCGTAATCAATTATATTGCAAGATCTTGCTGCCTTCTTTGTTCATGGATCATCTTGGAGATCATCTAGTGAGAGTGTGACTGTGTAGAAGCACAGGACTCTGGATAGAAGGTGTCAAAAGAAAATTCAGAAAACTTTACATGAGACAAATATTTTGAGTGGGAGACAAACTGTTGGGAAATAGGAAGACTTCCAAACCAAAAGTGACTTGAAGCTCAGTTTATAAAGCATAAATGAAGGCACCTTGTTTTGTATTGTGATTGGCTCCTAGAAATACATTCCTTTTAGGATAGTAGTACCACGTAAGCTTACCTGTTTGTACCTGATTAACTAGGAAGCTACAAGGTTATGTTGACATGAAAAAAGCTTAGGTTTTGTTTCAGGTCAGAGTCAGAATTTTAGGGAAATCAGAGTAGCTTTAAGTTTTGGTGACGCGATGATGAGTGTTTGATGTAGAGGTGTATTGAAACTGTGGCCTACTTTAACACATACAATAGAACAACATGAGGCTATTATGATAAAAACAAGAACAATAGGGCGCCTGGGTGGCTCAGTGGGTTAAGCCTCTGCCTTTGGCTCAGGTCATGATCTCAGGGTCTTGGGATCAAGCCCCACCTAGGGCTCTCTGTTCAGCAGGGAGCCTGCTTTGCCCTCTCTGCCTGTTTGTGATCTCTGTCTGTCAAATAAATAAATAAAATCTTTTTTTTTTTAAAAGAACAATTAATAATCCCTGTAAAATACTTTGGAATCAGGAATCTTAACTGTCCCACCCAGGCCAAGAGAATGAATCCTGGAGACTATGAGCTTGTCTGGCTCCACTCATGCAAAATTTCATGAAATGACTTTTTGCAATTAGTGGTAACCTGGGGAATGAGGCTGTCAGGAGCTCAGCTCAGCAGGGAGCGAGAACTGAGCCCCCAGGTGTCTGGGTAGCCAGTTAAAGCTACAAGCCAAAAAGGAAAGAGTAACTTTAATCATTTATTGCAATTGTATAAGAGGCAAAGAGCAGAGGAAGTGCTGCCTCTGTTCCATTTCCCTCACGGAATGTGGTCAGGTCCATAAACCTGGACATAGGTGTCTCACAGTTGAGGGAAAACAAAAAGCTCTGGCGGTTTTATGGATCCTGAGGTGGGTGGGGGCAGAGGAGGAAAGAAAGAAGGAAGGGCTCTGAGTGGGAAAGTAGTAGCTACTGAGTTAGAGTGATGAAAAATTTCTTCATGGTTTCCTCCTCCTTCCTCTCACTTCCCCTTCAACTCCTACAGAAAAAGACCTCTGACTGGCCTTGGATAGAGACCTAGGAATGTAAATATTCAAAAGAGCTTGATGGGTCTGGAAGGGCCCCCGGAGTCCCTGACTGCAACTCCCTGCAGAGACTGCGATGCATTGGCTGCACATTCTCAGAAAGGAATCTTTATCAGTTGACTTCTTTTGGTGGAATATATTCTCCTCTTCCTGGAAGGTAAATGTGTTGACAGTTCAGATGCCCAAAAATGTTTTAAAATTCTCCATCTGTCCATAGTTTGCTTGGGTTATATTCTGAATTTTAAATAATTTTCCTTTA